GTGCACTGCGAGATGTAGACCTCTCACGTCAGTGTTGTCTAGAAGCTGTTCTTTCGAGCGGGCTTGTATCCACTCTCCTACGACGATGTGTGCTATGCCTTCTCGAGCTGTTGTGGTGACGACGAGTGTCTCTCTCCTATGCGAGAATCTCGATCGACTGTCGTTATCGCGACTTCGGGAGCTGCTCCTTCGAATGCGAGGCATCGTTGGTAAATTATCATCAAATTATTATTATTTTTATCCAAATTCCCCCCCCCCCCTCCCCACCGTGGGTGTCCTCTTTACGACCCCGGTGCGACAGTGGCATCACACGCTTGACCCTGCTCCACAATCATCTCAACAACCTGACACGTACAAGGGAAGCTCGCTTGGTCGAATGGGCGATTCGGAAGGTAATGTGTACCTAAAGATAGAGCTGAAGACGCTTATCTAAGCATGTTCCTATCGAAGTTATAGGTTTTTTATTTTATAATGGAATGTGGTCTATAAGAAAAATGACGATCTGTGAATAACAACATCTATGGACAACATTCGAAAACGTTCAGATGATATTAGATTAGACCTACGATGTTCGGGTGCTTTGCCTGAGCCTGCGCACCTTTGTGTGACTACCGTGTTTTTATGTTGTGTCTTGTTGTGTTGTTTTTTACGAATAAAAATGCAAATGCGCGTAAAAAAGCTCATAACTTTCTTCAGAAGGGCGCATCAAATATATAGAAGTATACCTGATGTCAGCGTTTAAGGCTCTATCCATGTGTACACATCGCCTTCCGAATGGCTACTTCATTCGAGCAAACTTCCTATTGGTAGTGAAATTTTTCTCAGAAAAGCGATAGAATAAATAAAGGACTATACAGATTGTGCTCAGATTTGTGCAATTTTCACCAAAACAACAAAACAAAAAGACTGACAGGCTAATCAACGACCAACGACCTTATATAACTTCATTATTACTATACAGTGTACAGTCTTTCCCAATCGGGTGCGCGTGGCATCTGCGCAGCGTATGCGTATTGTTACAGAGATCCAAGTGATTAAGGAGGAGCAGACAAGTAGGATGCAGGCGTGAGGTTAAAGGCAGTGCCGCGGTAGAATTTGGTTTTCCAGATTTTCACCTTTTCGGGGCCTTCTCGCCGTGAGAAAACATCTGGGCTTTTCAGCGCATGAAAATGGCGAAAATTTATTTATTTATTTGGTACGCCCGAAGGCGTGCTTCGTACAAACCGAACAATTCTCAAAACAACCGGAGTAAGCTAGACAAAACACAAAGAAGAAGAAGGAAGAAAATAACAACATCGTGAAAATGAGCTTTTCAGAAGCTTTCTAGGTCCGCATTCAGTGGAGAAGTGGACGGGGCCTGGAACGGGAAAGGTGGGGTGCGGCTTTTTGCGGCGTATCTTCACTGTATTCGGATCTGGAAAGCTTCGAAAAAGGCTCATTTTCGCCATTTTCACACGCTGAAAAGTCCAGGTATGGGTTTCTCATGATGAGAAGGCCCTGATAAGGTGAAAATCTGAAAAACGAGATTCTGCCGAGACGCTGCTATTAAACTCCAGCGACGCGGACTCCAGCCCAGCTAACTGGCCTGATTGGGATTGGAACAGACTGCTCAGACAATTATTGCGACCACCCACGAAAGGGCCCCGCCGACTTTTCATCCATGCCGTGAGTGGTAGAATAAACGCATACAAATACATGTATCCATTTTTCTGATTGTGCATTCCTTGTAATCATTCTCGTGATTCCTTGCTGAGAAACGACCTGCTGCGTTTTATGCCCTCCAAGATAGTATGCACACTCATTTTGGAAGCCCTCTTATGTTCAGACTGACTATCCTTCCCATATAAGTTTGTCATATGAACCGAGCAGCTATGGAAAGCTGTTTCACAGGCAGCGTTCTCTACCCAAACTGGCATAAATCTTGTTGAAATGCCACTTCCAATTCAGATACTTTTTTTACTGGTAATAGTGGATCTTTCTGAAAAGCAGCCGCACATTTTAACAATTCAGTATCTTATCCGTATTCGCAGTTTACTCTTGCTAACGTCCGTTCACACACCAAATTCGGTGCGGTATACTTGCGATGTAAAAATTTGAATTTGTTGCTTTTTGAATAACCTGGTTACTCAGGTTGCGTTTTGAGCAAGATCATGTTTGGCACGTCCGTCATGTCACTCCCTTGTTCGCCAGTCCAGATGTAACATCTGACAAGGGAAAGTTCCCAAGTCAGCTCAGCCAACCCGGATGAGTCATGTATCGCCGTAACGGGCTTGAAACGCTGATTCCAAATCTGCTTTCATTTTCTGCGGAGCAACTTTCCCAGGAGACTTATGAGCGTTAAAAGTCTAAATTTGTCATGTTCAAAGTGGCTCAAAATCAGTTGAAAGCTGTAAAACAACATCTAACGGAATTTCATTATCTGTGTTCCGTCCTTGTAATCAATATACTTGATACAAAACTGATAAATCACTTTTATGTGTTATTGTACAGCTTTCGCCAATTTTAAGCCACTTAAAACATGACAAATTTAGACTTTTAAACGCTCATAACTTCTCTCGGAAAGCCGCTCCGCAGAAGAGGAAAGCACATTTGGAATCAGCGTTTCAAGCCCGTTAGGGTGATATATGACTCATCCGGGTTGGCCGAGCTGACTTGGGAACTCTTCCTCTTGAGCACCATGCTGGGCTGTGTTCCCAACCTTGGTTTCGTCCCAAACTGAGTTCTTGCTAATTTTTATTTTCTACACTCATAATTCTCTTCGGGTATCTCTTATAAACATTTGAAATTCCTCAGATTTGTTGGTTCTGACAACCACTTGTTAATATATCTTCCATTCTGCTGTTGTTCTTCTTAGGTTCAAGCATCGCTCGATATGTATCGCTCGACTTAAGAACTTTGAGAGCTTTGCTCCCTTAATGAACAAATACTGGCAGCCTATCACTAATCGGATCGAAAAGACTAAAGATGCTTGTGGGCGAGTGTGTCGTGGACACGAATAAGAATGGTATGCCTAATTTATTATTAGGGCTTTGAAGTATCGTTGGATTGTGTATTTTTAAGTGCTTCGCGTTTTAGAGCGATTATTATGATAAACTCCCACGACGACTGCATCAAAGAAGGAGCGGAATGTTCTGAATGTAACAGAACGAATAGAAAGTTAAAATAAGCTGATTTCTGTCAACTCTGGAAAATAATACAGCGGCCGTTAGACTGTAATTGGAGCCCATAGCGCTCGCGCACCTTTTGTGCGAACACGGAGAGATACAGTGTTCAATGAAGATAACAAAAGATGAAGTGCGACACTCTAATTTATGCATTTTGAAGCACTTCGTTCAGATTTATAACAGAAATTTTCACAATCATTTTGAGAGCGGCGTCATTAGCTTAAGGGAAGAATGGAATGAGCGTGGTTTTGAACCAACTCCTGAGAAATTGGGTGTTTAACACGTTGACGACCGTGTGCATCCGCGCGTATGTGCGCCCTGACCACTTTGGCGCTTTCGTGCATCAATTTATCATGTGTAAACGAGAAGTTCTCAGGTAACTTCTATGCAGTGATAACACTGGTGACTTGGTTTGTCATATAGAAACACACGGCATTGCGGTAGCTGTTAAACAATCTAAACCAGCCGTAGATCATCAGTCCATTTTGATGTGGTCAAAAATGGCTCGGGTCAACGTGTTAAACAGTCGCTGCCGAGATGAGTGGAGACATTCAGATGATACTCTTACTACTTGGGAAAAAACCATTTATTTCCAATAGAACAAGCTAAAAGAGCCACCAATATGCGTTAGGTAGGTGCCAGAGTAAGCGAATATTTTGTTCAGGTTGGGGTCCGGCGCAGAATTGACGTCACTTGGATTGATGCCAGCATGGTGGAAGGCGTCAATTCTGCGCGGGACCCCAACCCGAACAAAATATTCGCTTACTCTGGCACCTACCTTACCTCAAACAATTAGTGACATTCTTACTGAATCTGTCATACTGGGTTCAGGGACCCACAAGGGTCGTGAATAATAGCAAAATTTGTGGTAGTGGTCTTGCCTGGGCGCGGCCTTCAACGTGCGACTTGTTTTATCATCTTTGTTTTAGCCTCCGGTTGATGCACCAACTTTTTGGTTGCAGCCCATCTGTCAAGTAGCAGTCAGAGCTAATGTGAGGACGAGTCAGCACGGAGAGGAAGATACAAGTTTGTTGTTAGTAGGCTATAAGGACTTAGGATGAGCCGCGATGAGTACGAGAGGCTCTCTGCTCCGTTCGTTACAATAAAAGCTCGCCTATCGTGATCGAGAGCCAGGTCCTTGGTTTGTCACGGCTACCTAAGCGCAACTCGCTTGGCAGTCCTGAGGGCGACGGAGATTCCGGAATTGTTAAGACGAACGAATAGGCGCTGAAATTAAGGTGAGTGCACCTGGTTTATTCCTCCCGCCTCATTTACATGTATCACTTTGTAAAACTTAACTAGAATATCCCCCTTTGCTCGTTCATGATTAGAGTTATTGCTCACGGAGAGACTGGATGCGCTATCCTCATATAAGGTATATATCTTCGGCACTGGATACGTGGCAAGAAAGAGGCACAATGGGATTTCTGCTCTCTCTAGATAGCGTAAACATGCAAGGGTTGCTTCATTGTTTGAAACGCAGGAATTAGATTCGCCTAGTTATCTTAATCTTGAGAAAGTAAATGGTCCTGTAAATACAAAGAAAACTTTTTAGAAATCAAGGAAAGGTGAAGATGAGCGGCTACTTCTCATCAGAAAATCAAGTATATTGTTACAGAACGTACTTGTGTGCGAAGTTACTGACTCAGTCAAAAAAACATCTTTTAAATTTGAATGAGGTAATGGCTCTACCAATTTTCGTGAAGTTGCCGGAATAACTTGAAGAATGTACGACATTCCATGATATTTTTGTAGAAGAACTAGAGGCAGTTTCAGGGTAAGGAAATAGAGCTTTACAGCAGTAATCATGACAACTTTGTCAACTGGTTGCGACCTAGTATCTATCTGCACGAATAAGAAGCAGCTTCCAGTGCAACAATGCATCGCTTCAATCTATTGCAGTGGTTAGTTTTCACTACATCAAACATCAGAAGCATGGTTTTCCTTCTTTTTATGTATTCTTTGTGTTATGACGAAAGCCTGAAAGAATACTTTTCATCGCAATAACTTAGTTACTTCAATGACCTAGTTTGCATTCATTTAATGCAAACTGAGTTACCCACGACAACACATAAAAATATTTCAACCTCTTTTGTTTAGCTTCCTGTTCTGGACCATCAACCTAGACCAACGCAGTCGTCTATGCATTCCGTCGAGGTCAAATGAGTCGAAGGGCTCCATTTAACACAGTACATCACATGAGGTCAATGGAAGCGAAAAGCCTTAATATGACTAAGCACTCAAGCACTTTGTGGACATTTTTGATCTGCCGCGCATCAATCACAAGTGAAACTCTCACAACCTCAAAGACATGCTGACAGAAGGCGCATCAAACCTTCAAAATGGTGAGCATTATGATTGTTTTCTAGGAAGGTCAAGCTCCTTCTATGAAGAGGGACTGCCATTGCGTAGGCCACGCGTAGTTCAGTAGTATCGACAAATAATATGGCACTCTTCAATGGCAATGGCTAGAATCATGGCTCAGAAATGGCCATAGAATGCAAAATTTATAGAATTGCGTTCTATTTTCGTGAAAGTTATCGGAACAGCATTCGCTATCACGAATGTCTCAGCGAGACTACAGTACATATAGCAGGGTTGTGTTGTAACTATAAAAGCATAGCTAATGTGGCACGTCTTTTGATGCCGCAATCTACTGAGCTCAACTACATCAAGTAGTATACGCAAACCAAGGCAAACGTGCATCAATCTGAGTAAGTATGTGAGTTGTATCTGCAGAGTTCTGCTCCAGCCAAGACATCAAAGAATAATCCTAAATGAAAAGATTACGCTGATATGTCGCTCTAGGCGTTGTTTCGGCGATTATCAAGTGAGTCAAAAATTGCATGGGTTCTATTAATTCTACTTCGATCATGCCACCCCACTAAGAATAATATACGCGTTCAAGCAGCTCGCGCACCTTATTAATGCGATCATGGGGGAGTCTACTAAGTTCAACGAATGTAATACATGTATGAGACATGCGCGAGCGGTTACGCGTTCAGCTATCTCTCATTGAACAAAGCGCGATTAGCTGCCCTCGCAAATTATCGGGTGTAGTAAGGACTCCTTTTCTGCGGCTGTAAGTGTTTCCAGAAATAACGTAATCTCCAGTTATATGTATCATCTTTGGAAATTCTATTAGGGTGATCCAAAAGTAATGGAAAATCTTGATTTCTCTTGAAAATTCAGGGGTTTTTTTGGTTGAATATGAACAATCAATGATTTTAAAGCTTTTGTATATAGTGACCCTCGCATGTCTTGACAGCACCTTGCAGAGCCTCACCCATAATCCCTCGAGCGGCGCTTCGAGGAAGTCAGCAGATTGTTTGAACACCATCCGAATTCGCGCTGCGGTAACACAAAGTCCCTGGACAAATGATAATATCATTCGAAAAGGTTTTTTAAGTTTTTTGGTAATTACTGAAATGTGCAAAAATTCTTCACTTTGGCATAGAAGAGGCAGATTATTTGAAAAAGAGCGGTTTTGCACAGATTTTTAGGTTAGAAACATGTTTTAGCCCACAAATTTTTTAGACAGCAAAAGTAGAGGTCAGTTGCATAAATATGGATAGAGCGCAAAAAGCTGTTTCAAATGGCGCTGTCATACGATTTTGTCATATTACGTGTCACAAGTAAGTTACACGAGTAAGTTACGGGATTTGTCTCTCCGTCATTGCGTAAGCCGGACCGAGGGAATGGCTCCGCTTACGGCAGGCAGCGCAGACCATCAGCTGACGCTTCTCGGCTGTCAGCTCATCATGGATTCTTATAACAGTAGAGCAAGGTGGCTGTAAGATCAGCTTACGGATTTCATGTGAGAGGGTCAGCGGAGATCATCTGAGTTGAGGAAGGGTTTACTACGAGCCTATGTCTGCAATGTTAAGGAATTATTTCTTAACATTTTGACACCATCTTAAAGGCTGCAATATTTCCAATATCAGTACGTGCATTGCTTAGCTACGAAGCACAATTTTGTTTCTTCATAAATTTGAAATGTCAGCGTTATGAGGCATTTTCGCAGAAAATGTGTGATTTTCGTTTCTTCATCAAGTATGCGCAAAGTTCGCTAGTCGAAAATAATGGTAGAGAAACTGTGAATCAGCGATTCTGCTGCAAAATGACGTGACTGTGCTCAGAATTTTCTCATTTTGGTTTGAATATTTGCAACATACTCATTCTGCATCTCAAAGATGTATATATAGAGAGTACGAACTGATGAAACGATGTGAAGTCTTGCTCTCGACTGCTGAGGTCTGATGTGAGCATTTCATGCACTTATATGTATGCTTGCGCTCATTTCAGAATTCGCGATTGCCCTGAATTTCGAAAAATTGCTGTCAGCGAGAATTTCTTTCTCACAACCAGATAAACCATCCCCGTCCCACTATCGAAAGAAAAGAAAAGTCTTTACAAGGAAAGCAGTCATTTGTTAATTCGCTTTACTTCAAAATATTTACAAAATCCTCGTTGACTGATCCCAGTATATCGTTTTTGAAATTCCCTAGTGGATGCAGTAATCTACAGTAAGGAACATAGATAGGTGTCTAGCACCATATGTACCGTAAATCCGAATTGAAGTCAGCTGTTTCCAGCTCCTTTTTGAACATGAGCTGCAACTTAGTCCTTCGAACACCTCATATATTTGGGTGAGGTTTTTGAAGCGTGTTCTGCAAATGACTATGTGCAATTTTGTTAGGCAGTTTGGATACTGTAAAGGCTGCTGCATGACGAAGGCGCAATACCTTTGGGCGCGAACGCGGCTTTGTTAGCCGCAGAGCACATAAGACAAGATTTACAACGGTGAAGATACGTGCGCACCGAGTTCGCGCCCGCTCAACAAGTATTGCTATTGCGCTTTCTTCATGCAGCAGCCTTTAGCTAGGTTTATGACGAACTTTAAGAGACCTGGCGTAGCTTTCGGATAAAGTCCGAGACTAACTCCAGTGATCATATTTAGAGTCAGCGATCCCAGTTTACTTATTTCAAACGAAATTAGCTTTCCTGAAGTTTCTTTGAAGGACGATTTTTTTCTCACCAATGCAGAATGGTTTTCAAAGTTCCTACAGTGATCTTACAGTAATGAAGAGCTATTGCTTATCGATTCATATTAAAATTCAAACCGAAGCCATCTTTACGGAAACATCCGAACGACGGCGCAAGCAAGTAGGTCAAAAGATACTAACGGTCAAACATTGGGGACAAATTCTGAAAAACCCTTATATTCAAGTACGTTCTGAATTTGAAAGAGTTAGATCACCTATGACAGGAAGCAATTCCAACTTGTGCAACGCCTTTACTTACGATGGATACCAACTCTACAGTGCCTGCTTTTGTGAATGAATCAAAACCAATCTTCTTTTGTATTCCGTGCCAGAAATTGACCTGATAGTGTGATGATCGTCATTATTTTTACGGTAATCATTTTTTTGTGAAGAAAGATCATATTACTTGCGCACCCCAGCGATTCATTTCATCTGTTAACCGTAATAGAAACTGCCGTTCACTTTGCTATTTTCAGAATCAATCGGTTCATTGGAAAATGAGTAGTGAAATCAAGATTGTGCTAATGCTGTCTGTGGTGTGTTTCATTGGAGTGGAAGCATGCGTAGGACCCCATTGCTCGATGGTGCTACCAATGGGAGTACCGGGACCAACACTGCCAGTCGCTTTTGTAAAACAGCCATGGAATGTACAAACATGGGCTACTTTTTGGAAAAAACAACCAGTGGTACAAAAATGGAAATATAAGCTTGTGGGACAGCCAGCGTGGGGACCCAAATTAGTATATCCAGTTTTTACTGGACCGCGTGCCCCAGGAATGTGTGAGTTTTTCGATTTGAACTTCGCCAATGAATTTCAATGATTACAGTTTGGTAACGCTATATGTAGGATCATTGGGAAAGTGATTGCTTCTCCATTCATGTTGTCTGCGATTACCGATGAGGAATAAAATTTACATGCATTTCGCCTTTGTTGTACCTAACTTGGCAAATGAAAATTCCTTAGCCTTTCCTTGATAGTAGAAAATGATACACCTAGGAAAGAACTTGCAATTGCAAAAAAGCAGGTTCCTAGGAAAAGACACATGGTCATTCAGCCCCACATATTTCCTCCAATTTGAAGTAAAGGTCATATTACGGTCAAAATTTTGTATACAGAAGCAGTTATACGGCACTCAAAAATCGTGAAGATGGCGCGACCGCGCGCGACACGCACGCAATGTTCGGCAACCGCATTTTCTTGGTTTCATCTATACTTTTGTGGTTTTTCTGCTTACGTATAATAGTAATCAGACACTGGAACTGACTGAGCGGAACGTTGAGGTGGTGCCGCTTTGTATGAGGGTCCAAGCTCCTGTGGGCGCAAAGTTCGCAGTCAAATCCGTCGTCACGATTTTAAGAATGACTTATACTCCTTCTTGATGTCACTGTAGAAACGAAAAAAGATCTTGAAAAAAAGTTGAAGGAAAAACCATTCACTTAGAAACGGCTACACGCTAAAGAAAAAGCCTTTTGCGTCTTTTGACTCGCTTTCATCAGATGTGGTATACTCCTTATATATACAAACTATGGAAAAATAACTATATACAAAAGCTAACACGTAGTTTTGCACAAGTTCACAGTCACCTAAAGGCAACTCCAGGCAAAAATCATGAAAGCCTATGCAGCCCACTAGCAGAACCAGGAGTAAATCCACTGCCTTAGTCTTTTAATAATTATTTGACATAAAACTGTACCGTCTCTAGTGACCTATTACAGCTAGTAATCGCGAAATTATGCTCACTTCAAACCTTTGATAGTAGTTTTTGTGGTAAGGTTGCTCCAAGGGCTCGTTATTAGCGCATAACAGGTTGAGAGTTAGGCAGGATTAACAGAAAGGTTTTACGAGAAGTTTACACCTGTACGTGTATCACAGACGGGAAATTAAAAATCCATATCCTTAAATCAGTTTTTTTTTTGGCAAAGTTACTTCAGAGCTTGTCCTCATTGTATCCCAGATTTGAAAGCCACACAGGCTTAGATATCTGAAGGTTTTTGGGAGTTTGAACACTGTCAGCAATGTATAACATATCCTAGCAAGTACATCTTTTGCAGGATACATACCTGATTCCATATAGCTAAATCATTTGCTGTAGCCATAACTTCCAAAATTCTCCATTTTGCGAAAAGAAACGAAAATTGCTCACATCGTCAAGTTAGTGTTAGTATTAAATAAGCTTTGGAGCACTAAATTCTGGATTTTGCAATGTTTGATGATCATGTACTATGCATGCCTTCAAATCTGACGACTTTTAGAAACTATTTAGCAAAATTCTAACAAAGAAACTGGAGAATAAGAAATTGTTTTGAAGTGCAAGGAGTTGGTCTTTTGGCTATCAAAGCTACTTCAAAGTCTTAAATTGAAATTTTGAAGATTAGCAGAAAGAAGATTTCTGCATCGGATATTACTTGAACTACTTATTGCTACAAGATCAACGGGTGGGTAATCACGAACAAAACTTTTGGGCCGACTTAATTTTGGAAACTCCCTAGATAAACAGTCATCTCTCAAATCGCTTCAAGAAACTTCGGTGAGGAGGAAGCAAAAGTACAAACCTTTGCTTTTTGATCCCACTTGAGGAAAAGGCGCTACAATGCTATGCAAAGCTAGCAAAAGGATGAAACTTCTCATTCTGCAAACTGAACATGTGCTACCTTCACGGAAGTGCTGGCAACTTCGAAAAAAAAAGTTCCGTTTCACGAGCGGCGCATGTGCTCTTGGTGCAAAATGTTGGACTCCGACTTACGTCACTAATTCGGAATTTTTATCGCTTACACAGAAGCCGCCACTTGTACATCAGTCACATTCACAATTTCTGCATATTTTAACGCAAGTCGTATTTCGAACTCTCGGTAGCGTCAATCGTCGCCAAGAATTTTCAATAGTTTCAGAAAGCTGAGTTCTTTCTTATGCCGGGGAGCAACCAAACTCTGGCTCATCAAATTTCTAAGCGCCTTGCAAAATCCTGATTTTCTCTAGGGGCTAAGAAAACAGTCTCTATCGACGGTTTTTAAGCAAGTAGTCATCAGCAGAATTTTGACGTGAGCATAGCAAGCATCAACTTTTGCATCTCATCGTCTATAGTCATCCGATGTAAGCCTAGGAATGTTATAACAATCCTACGAGTATAATATCAGTCACAATCTACAGAGAAAGAGAGAGAGGCAAAAAATAGAGGAAAATACCCATTTCAGCCAAAAAAATCGCATTTGATATAGCACAAGTTCTTTTTCATAATTAATTTATGGGGCATTTTCATGTTATCAACTTGTTTACCGTTTGACCAAAGGTGACACGCTGTTATTTTATTGTTGTTTACTCAACATGCACTCGAACACGTTCGCCCCTATTGGATAAAGATCAGATCCTTAAACAGTAAGTGTATTTTGGTACTTTCAGTGAAGTTACTTGCAAGAATTTATTTCAAATAAAAAAATCGAGCACTAGATAATGGCACTGGCCAATCCTTTATTTCACACCAAAATAAATATCATGACATTTGTAAATGTCCTCGAGGATTTGTTTTCAAATTGCCTCGACACACTCCGAGCCCTGGGTTCACAAGCCAGAATAGAAGGGTGCTCCATGGTCAACCTCCGTAACACTTAAAATTTTGAGATTTCAATAATGAAGAGTATTTAGTAAGTATTATACGATACAGAAGAATTATACCTCTTATAAAAAACAACCTGTAGAGCGTTATTTTGGAGGGGAGATAAGTTACGGATCGTCAGAGGCGAGAAAGCCCAAACATAAGGCGAGTACCATCTAATCATATATCTAACTCTGGGCTCCGCCATAATATCTACAATAGAGAAACATGCCAAGATTCCTAGAAGGAGTTCAGAATACGAATATATTCTATCACTTCGCCATATTATACATTTTCTCCAACTCATAAACATATACTTTGGGATGTTTTTTCTCGTCATATCTTTCGTAACTATTGCGTGCAAGGCAGTCTAGACGAATAAAAAACGCGTCGAATGGTGCACGCTCAGAGAAGACGCAGTCGCGACGCGCGCACATGTCTACGTGCGGGTGTCGGTGCATGTGCGTGTGCTGAAAGCGTTTCCAGCTTCGTTTTCGGTTTCGCGCAAACCGACTAGATGCTTTTTCCCGTATTCGCGACCGCAACTCGGTTTGTGCGTTCTTTGAATATGCAAAACGACATGAAAAATTCTGCGTGCGCTATGATCTCACATGGTCGCGGAAACGGCGAAAAATTCATGTGAAAGCTGAGAACTGCGAATTCTTGCAGCAACAATTCTAAGAGACAGTTATGGTTTTTAGTGTATTGATAATACATGGTGTGATTTTGTCAAAGTATGTCAGACACTGTGAAATGCTATTAACTGTTCTGTGAGTGCAGACAAAAAGTAAAGAGATTTTTTGTCACTTCTTTTTTATTGGTCGCTTTTTTCTGTCCTCGTGCCTAGTCATATGAGTTTTACTTCCCTATTTCAACGCACCGTCATCTACACAATGAAATCAAAAATAATAAATGTAGAGATAAAATTTATTGCATAAGAGTTGGTTGAAATGGTTAAAATATGACATGTGGGAAGTGTAATGCACGTGAATGAAGAATTCGCGTTCGATGAGGCATGCTGATTGTATTCGCTGACGATTCATTCTTCTACCTCCGATTATATTGATGAATATTTCGCAATGAAAATCACATTTTGTGTCAAAACAGAGCATTGTTGGTATACGAATGTTCGAAAAAGAAACGCTGAGGGTGAGCAGAAAAACGCATTTGAAAATTTCGAAAATCGTGGTACTTAGTCAATATTGATCCAGTCACGACACGTGGGTCACCGATGGCTCACGCATTTCTTGCTGCAACGACCTTGTAGACATTGGTCCACCCTCTTACAGAGGCAAAAATTTTTCAGATTTGTAGTTTTTCGAAAGGCGGCGGGTTCTGATTGTACATTCAGTGGCTGTGATCAGTAATCGATCGATAAAATCGATAGTTTGACACAACATAAAGGGAGTTTTTCTACTTCCTATTCAGCTGGTCTTTAACGTACGATACACAGCTGGGTGCGTAAAGATTGCGTGATTGTCCGCGCTTGGATAGCTGTGTACGATGTGATTTTGGATGTCGCGGGTATCTCTCTCGGGGCAAATTCGCATTCTTTATCGACAAGAGATATGGAAGAGAGCTTTGGGGTTCAGACTAACTTGGACTTAAAGTTATAGTTGAGCTCTAACCTGTTATGGCTAAAATTATATGCGTGTAGATGAATTGGGAAAATGTTCGTTCTCAGGTATATTTACAGAGAACTCGTTCGTCAGGTTTTTAATTTCTTCATACATCAACGAGACAATTCGTTTTGAGCACTTACCGACGTTGACAGTAAAAGAACGGCAACTACCCAATGAACACGTGATGATTGAAAATTGTCTAGGACAATTTCTACAGTAAAGTCGCTGACTTTTTTGAGGGTATTTATCTATCATATAAAATGTGCAACTTATGAATGTGCAGTTTTGCAGGACTGGACGTATCGAAGGCTCATCGCTATTTCTGATAGTAACTTCTTATCGATTGCCGTGCTTGGGATTAGAAAAGCGGAGGACTCAGAGGGGGAAGTTATCGTAGTACTTGCACTTCTGGGCAACGCACGTTCAACTGCAGCGTTCATCAGTACAAATGCACATGTGAGTGTGTGTGTGTGTGTGTGTGCATAGGGGAACAAAAATAGGGGGGGGGATGTCTAATGCCTAATGCCTCCCCACGTCTCACCCGTGCACCCGCGTGTGTCTCCTCTCTCTGCGTGTCGCGCCGCTTGCTGCCTCTCCATCGCCGCCCGCCACCCCCCGCATATCAACGGCGACGACGACGCGCCAGTCGCGCCGGACGCGGACAGCGCACGCGATGCGGTGGAGGAAGTTATTTGAGCGTTCCTAGCACGTGGGGAGAGACCCGCGGCTGCAACGGAATGCACGTGCGCCGTCTGTCCTCAATCACACGATGTCATTCTCGGAGCAAAGTCCACGCGCTTTGCGCTGCACACATACACACACACAGCGCGCGCGGCGCGCAACACACCCAGCACCTACTCGCTCTCCTCGCACCCTTCCAAAACGCTCTTCGGAACATTGCGTCTAGGCGTAAACACAAGCAATGCACCGTCTCATCACCAGCACCGTACACCAAAATTATGCGCTTGCGCGGGTTGCGTATGCCACGTTTCTTGCACACTTTTTTTTCACACCGTTACGTTTATTTACGACATCATTGCATTATCCTCGTATCCAACAATAGGAATCAAGATGTGGTAATCAAAACAGTAGGTGTACAATCAATTACTCAGTATGAGAAAATGAAGTAAAATAGCGAAAGAAATGAGAGAGGTGGCACTCTCTCATTGTTTTTGTCCTATATGCTGAAAACTTACCAGAATACATTGATGGGTCTTAAAGCGAGGTTTTTTCAAAGGGTATTTTTGGCAAAATTTCGTTTTGCTTTTCACGAAATTCTTGTTGTATGAGGGTTTATTTCTGGGATTTATTAACCTTGGTTTTGTTTTGAATATCTAGGATTTTCCCAAGGAAAACTCTACCAAAAATCACACTCTTGCAAGCACCCATAGTTGCGTGATATCACTTTATCATTGTTTGTGAATCAATCTCCACAACTCTTTGGACTTTGTTCTCCACGGTAGCAAGATAATATTTTGCTGACTGAATGATCTTTGAGTGTTCTAAAAGTCTAACTATGCAGACATGCGGGGAAAACTTTACTTGAACTCGGAGCATGTGAATCATATGATTCGCGAAAATACGGTCCCTGACTTATATCATGTGAAATGATTATGACAGCATGGTGCACGTAAATAAATCTTTGCTAACTCGTATCATAATGTAAACGGTTATGGAGGCTATGAAGTAGGCAGGTAGTGGCATATATCTCAACAGCAGCCCACCCCCTCCCCTTCCCCCGCTTATTCGCACACCCTACTAATAACGACAGATCAGTGATGCCTTCCACCGCTCACCAAAAAGATTCACACCTGCCATTTAATCACAACTTTGATGGTTATGCATCACACAGTCATGTGCGGATCAAGGCACATGGCACTTCGCTAATTTTTTAATATATTAAGAAATGAAAAACATCCAAGAGTTTCCACCCCACCCTTTCTTCGCCCGGTCCCTGTTCAATTCACGTGACGTGCCACGTTGTCGTATGGTGCAAAGTGCGTTTTCTCAGAAAATGGGCTTGTGTCTCGTCTTGTCTTGTCTCGTCGTCATCGCTCCTTGCCTGATTCTTGACGATCACGTAGAAGGTGATGTTTTTGAAGGACATATGGGCATGATATTTATTTTTATTTGATCTACATAAAAGGTTGTTGGGAGGGGGGGGGGGGGTGGATGGGGGATGGGAGAGCGAGAGAGAATCTTAGCCAAAGAACTAGATCGTGCGAGGCATAGGAACAGGATTTCTGGTGATTTTTGATGACTAGGAAATAGTTGTTCTGACGGAAATTTTGATGAACACGGAGGATCTTCGTTAAATTTCCCGCTTGAAGTCGGCATTGGGCAGCGATTTCCTTAGCAAGGTCACCAAGATATTTGTCTCAGTCTGGCCTTACAAGAATTACTCCGCATAAAAATAAGTGGTCCTCTGCAACGACGGGTTTTCCACCCTCGAGCGGGACGAGCGGGGTCGCGACGAGCGGGGGGCGGCATGTGCCGAGCACGTGGCCGTGGGCCGTTCTCTGGCGCGTCGCCGCCACGCCCCCTGTCAGTCTGGACGTTTGTCGCACGCACATTCGCTGCTGCACACTCCTCGCCAAATGGACACCCAGTTAAGCATCAAAACCTTACTGACCGCTGCTCGACTTCTGGACGGAGGTCGCGAGGTGAACACCCTCGTACAACCTCATCCCACTATGCAAGATGTGCCGACGGGCACGATTCCGTCATCACTTGATATGCAACCTCTATATGCTGGTACGTAATTATGTAACTATCGTCTTTCTCGACCACATCTTCCCTCAGTTTTACTTGTTCGAAAATTCTCTCAAAGCCAGATTTTTTATGATCATCTCGAGCCATACTTTGTAAATTTTCGACTCTCAACAATTGCACTGCATTCGCCTCATTTCAGATTCCATGCAGCCTGAACTCAGGGTTATTATCTCAAGGAAGATGCGTGTTGAGCGGAAGCTTTGTTCCGCTTCAACAAGCGCTCAACCATACTGTTCCTCGTCCCCGCCACGGAAAAACTCATCGAAACACAGTCGGTGAGTCATTCGCCATAGTTCGCTCATGCAAGCTGTTTTATCTCTGCAAAACGCTCGCCCACTCCTCTTACTTCTTTGCATGGCAAAAATTCTCCAAATCTGCTTGTCTGCGGCTTTGATCCTGCCTCAATATCGCCAATTATTCCATCACTCTTGCAGAGCCGCCCACAATGAGCTCGAAAAAACTCGCCGAGCAAATCTTCGAGGATGCCTGGAGACGCTGAAAACTCTCGTACCACCGCTTGGCGATGCGTCTCGTAATACAACGCTTGCATTGCTGACGCGTGCCCGTGACCACATCAAGGTGAGCGCTCGTTCACATGTTAATCACGTGCGCGCGCACGTGCGCGTGTAACGCCCAGCCCACACGGGTCTTCGAGTGGAATGATTCGGTGTAGGAAACGCGCATGCGCTTCTTGCAATTCCACTCTTCCTCGTGACATCGCATACGCACGCACTGTGAGACACGGAATAATATGGGGTATGTGGGCTGCGGTGAAGCGAAAAGAATGATGGGGGTTTCGTCCGAACTTGCGCCATACGCACATGTGCTGACGTCAGAGCAGTGCTTGACATTTTCGGAAGTTTTTGCTTGGAAGATTGTTCCAGTTTTGGGTTCTAAAGAGTTTAGCGAGCATCGATCGGGTTCGGACGGAATCTCTATATGTTATGAAAGCATAAAATGTCGGGATTTGCAAACGCCCTTAAACTATGCATTTTGCAGCAACTGGACGAGTGCAACGCGGTTTTGCTTCAAGAACGGGAACGATTAGAAGAGCAAAAGCTCCGATTGCAAAATGAGCTGGAACGCCTGAAAGAAAGCACGTCACAGTCGACGTCGCCACGTCCTTCCTCCACCACCTCGTCACGTCTTTCGCGTGATTCCCCGATTTTCCTCGAATATTCGCCATCTTCGAAACCGGCTCAATCTCCTCAGCCTATAATCATTGACCCGATAGCAGAAGGTCTACTTCCAGCGTTACCCATTTGCTATCCACGGCCATCATTATATCCCTACCTCGATCTCACACCTTCTCATCCTTGTGCCTCGTTTGATATGCCATCATTCTTGCCAATTCATCTCCGCGTATGATGATCGTCATCCCATAATTTCTCGCTGTTTTTTATGTCTACTGTTTTTCATTGTCATTTCAATAAACTATTTGTAGTATTTCTAATGGCGCATTACAATAACCGAAGTATAGAAATGGCGAGAGATATCTCCACTTACCATACACGCCATCAGCGCAACAGGTGATTACATTTGAAGTCTCGAAAACATGTGCGATTCAGCCCACAGCACCAGTCGGACGTTTGTGACCACGTGCATTTCAACGTGCACAGAGTGTGTTGTGTGTGTTCCGCTGCTGCCATCAGCAGCGATACGGCTTGTTTATGTAAACAACTGTGCGCTCGCCTTGTCTTCTGATTGAAGAACTGCCTTTGTAGTGCTGCAGACACGGCTAGCTCTCCTTGGTACACTGGCATAGTTCGTTCATGCACTGCCTCTCTTGCGAGAGTGTCGGATCACTTTTGCAGAGAGCGAGTGATATCCCTTCCAGACGAGGAGGAATCCCCAACTTGTCGCGCCGAACAGCGAAAACAAGCCATTCGAAATGTGTGCAGCAGCGTGTTTTCGCGCAACGACGGGCGCAAGATGTTTTGCTAGGCGCGGCATGCGCGCCAGTCAGGCCCCACGGCCGCGATACGTTTGCATTCGTCAGCAGCAACAGCACGTGTCGCCCCCTAACAGCATGCGCGCGCTGCGCTATTCGGGCCGCAGTCAACCGTGTGAGCGCCCCGCGCCATGACGCATCAACGCACCGGGTCCTCGCCACCTTTCGCCCGTCTTCCCAACGATCGCCCCTTGCACGCGGTACACCCGTACGGCAATGCATTGCGACAGCCAGGGGGGCGACACAGCAAATCCGCCCGCATCAGCGCTTTCTTTTATCTAGAAAAAGCGCAAATAAGAAGGGTTTGTGTATGTGTTCGCATCAATGCAGCGCCAGTGGGGTGATAACATCTGACTAATCATATTGAACCTGGAAAAGCCTTTGTGATCAATTTCACATCACGCTCAGATTACAAACGAACCAAATTTTACATTTACCAACACTACGCTAATTTTGCAGCCGACGACACCTTACTAGTACCTCGTTTTAGAACGTTTTGTAGCAGAAACGAACTGTGGTAATGTGTACTCCTACCAGTGGGGGACCGGGGGGGTGGGGGTCGAGGAGGGGGGGGGGGGGAGGTGGCGCTTAGAATGGGTCGCGAAATTCTTAAAATTTACTTATATGAGTTCAAAAAATGTACAATTGTCTTGTTTATTCTTGTAAATAATTAAAATAATTTTTGAACTCTCTAAAAAATCCAAATTAGCCTTAATGCGTGGCGTTTGTCACACACCAATTGAAAAAAGTCTTTGCCGCGCCCCCCGGACGGGAATCCTGGGACTTCCATTGCCTACCAAATGCATATTTAATTAAACCAAAAAGAACCAATGACAAGAAGATCCCTGCAGACAGGTTTTAGCCTTACAAGTCGTGAAATAAGCACGTGGCGTGGCAATACGTAAATTATGTTAGAAAAGACTCAACAATACTTCTGCCTTCATAATGATACGTTACCTGAAATCAATACACACAAAATTCGGCCTTAACGCGCGCAACTGTACAAAAATAATCCTTCAATATAAAAACTAAGTGGCTCATTTGTCCATCCTGTCAGAGAATCATTTGGTGCCATTTTCAGAAGTTGACTTTGTATTTCTCTTCCCTTCATTTATGGTGACTCGTCATTACTTCAGCAAGATTTGGTCTCTCCATGTGCTTTCAGAGACTCGCCTTGCTCATCATTTACGTAACAAAGTGAATAACTCTTCACACACAATGAATGTAATGATTTTATGCTAAAGTTTTGATAATTCTGCGAAGTTTGAGCCTTCTTTGATAGTCTCTGTTGAGGGATGAGAGAACAGTTTCTTTAACAAAACCGTGACGTACGCATGCAACGTTGGGCAATTGCTCTTTGGATTTTCTCTTCCTTTCAGTGTTTCCAATTTGATATATATTCCGCGTGCACTGTCTGAGAATTTCAAGTCTCAAACACATGACAAAAAGAAGAAAACGTTTTCATTCCTTGGTCACGGAAATAAAATGGACAAAAAACTCGTTGATTTTATGGTGTTCACACCGATAAAGAGCAAACAATTGGTGTCTGGAGCTACAAGCAACGAATTAGCACTACCAGTTACGATTTGCAAGTTTATTGACTGTTGTTTTTACAGTTTTGCATGCATATTTGCAGACAATTAATAAAGTACACCCCCCCCCCCTCCCCCCTTTGACACATTGCCAGGGTGATTGGCATTTGCATCTGAGAGCGACAAGGAAGTACGAAAGTGCAGCGGGATAGTTTCGGGTTGAACTTTCTTTTTGTGCTCCATGACAGCGAGAAATTACAGATCAGCCAGGCATGCGAAATTTTGTCGCATGGAATGTAAAATGTGCACAATGAAATAGGTTGATTTATTTCAATAACCAAAAAGCTTTTTGATTTAAGAAGGTCGTGCGAGTTGTGGGCAATCAGAGCTATTTGTTTCGTACGACTATTCCCGGACTAAGGCTGATGATTTATGGTCGCGGAGCGGCGGAAACGTGGCGGTTGAGCATTTATCATCGCTGGAGCGCACATGATGCGCAGAGTAGAGGGAAATAGCGCAGCGTTCGCTCTTTCTCATGCGAACATCAGCCTTCCTCCGGGACTAGCGTTTGTCACTTTTAGACTGAAATACTCGGCATTAATGTAGTTTCTTTTGTTATCAAAAATTTTTCTCCGTTTCTGTTGAATTCAGAACCACAAAATTTCATGCACTGAATTTCTTCAAAAAGACTTTGTAAAGCTATTCAAGTAAACATCTTCGGTAAAACACAGAGCACGATCGAGTACTTTCAAAAGAAATTGGAGAAGTGGCCCAAACAACATTGGAACATTCTCGAAATCTGTACGGGAACGAACGCTTTACGAACAACTCGTCCTTTTTCAAATCGTAAAGGAATGCGAAAACATGCGAGCTATTGAAAGCATCGTCTTTTTCCACGTTAATTATTGATGCAAAACTAGAATATTGAAAATTTAGATCAGTTATGTCTTTGACACATGTCATGTTGATATTAATCTAGAGTATAATTAAGACTTAAAATCAATTGATTACATTTTTGAATTCGCTTTTTGCCACAATATTTTGATATGATTTTCTTTTGCGGTGATTCTTACATGGTCGTGCTGATGTGTCATACTATGCCTCCCTAAAAGCCATGTGACCTTGACGAATTTGACTTTCTGTATTTATCTATGAAATTCTTTCAATGCCGCTCAGTTTAATCAGCCAACATTGAATAAACGTGACTTGTACGAGCAAAAACTCCGAAAGTTTGGTGTCTGGAGCAGACACTTATCGTTTTATAGCTGGGGCATCGATACGCACTGAAATTCGTCTTTGAGACAATTTATAGAGTAGTAAAATTTGTTTGACGATAAAATATACAAAACTAAAGACGATGCAGACCTTGGGAAACCACTAATGTAAGGAAGTTTAACCTTCTTTTAAAACACCAAATTTATTCCAATATCCAAATGCCAAAGCTGCATTGCGGACATAATTACCATAACTTCGACATTCTAATAATCTTGTAGCTTTTTCAATTCTCTATCAAGCTCACGCATCTTGCATGTGATTCGCACTAGTCCTGAAGAAATTCACAATATAAAGTACAAAGACATTTATCACCACATTGGCATTTCGTGTAGAAAATAGGTTGAATAGATTATACTCCTACACCCTATCATGTAAAAAAATACGAGGGCATTGTGGGGAAGAGGTTTGGAGGCATTAGAATTCTATCCGTTAATCAATAGAAAGAAAGTCTAGAAAGCGGTTTGAACTTTTTTATGGAGAATTTTTATGGAGAATTGCTCGCAATTATAAAAGTTTCGCCCATAAGTGTGTCATTGAAATGTTTGGAGAATTACAATTGTCTCTGGTCTTATGAAGTATAATTTGGAGGGAAATATTCATGCACTTTATGAGTTTTCTTGAACAAAAATCCATATTGAAGGAACTACATGCTCTCAAATACAGACAGTCAATTTGCGTTTTTTTTGAAAATTTAATTTTACTTTTATCTGAAGTTTCTAAGTACTCTCCATTCAAGTGGAAGAATTTTGTGCTGATCGGTTGTATCCACGATAATCATGTTTTCAAGTTTTTTATGACTCGACATCTCGATCTGTTCTTCGTTGAATCCATGAAATGCATATAATAGGAAATCCGTTACGTGTTTCAATAAGCATTTGATAGAAACGTGACATTTTCTCAGACATTTTTGAACGACTTTTAAAAATTTTTGGTACAAGAGATACGGACCATTCCATACCATACTGTGCCAAATTGCAACTTTACTTTTTGATAGAAATAATCTAGTGTATGGGGTGACTCTGAAGCAGTTTATCTTATCTTTTTATAGAAACATCCATAGAGAATATTTCGAGCGCTCTTCTGACTCAAAACTGTCGATTACGTAGGCGAACACTGAAAAGAGCAAACTAAAAAACTATCAATGCATTTTTTTTTCTTTCCGCTCTCTCTTCTCTCTCTCCATCCATGTGACCACGTAGAAATGTGATGGACACATGTTTCCATATGTATCCGTTACTAACACTGTAACCACGTGTTTCATGACAAAAGGCCGCGTCAGCAACGCATTAAGATAGGCACTGTTGAAAGAACTTGCTGTACATAGGAAAAAAAGTTGAATTCTTTCTATCACGCGAATCACGTTCGCTGATGATGTGTGAATTTTTCACGTATAAAAATCGTGATAATTTAGATGCGAAAATTCTGCAAATATTTGCTATCAGTGCACGTCGTCTCTGCAGCTGAACCCCATGCCATCAACAGAGCACATTTCGAAGCTATCAATGTATTCTATTATCAGCGTTCGGTTCAATGCTCTCCGAATTCTGCGCCGTCTGTTCGCTTCGCACTGCTGATCGTGGAAGCGCGTGACTCTCTACTTCTGCACTTATCGTTCATAGACCTTTGACTCGATAGCGGACGTCCGTCCCCGACTCACATGAGCATCAATAGCTGCTTCTATTTTTGGCAGCTAAGCACATTTCAGCACGTTTTTGCAAAGTGCTGCTTCGATCTGCAGTCAGGAAGTTTTGCAGGAAGGAATACCTAAAAGCAGAGCTGACATCGACATCGAGGTAGCTCAATACTTGCAAACCACATTTTCAATAGAGCATATTTTGGCAGCTTTGAAAAAAATTTAACGAGACTTTCACACTTTCAACATTGTTCTACAACGAGTATAACAAAGTCGAGCCATTTGTAGCTCGATGTGCACGTTGCACAACTAGCGCGATACTTCACGGCATGTGCGTTCACAAATTGGCATTTCAAGGAATTTTCTACGATTTAGACTTTCGCGATTTCGACAGCGGTTTATGACGCTGTGACTAGTCAAATAATTTTGCATATAAATGTGCACTGCACAACAAGCGCAGTATTCCACGCCATGTGCGCTCAAAATTGTTTCTTTCAGACTTCCGCGATTTCGACAGAGCTCTAATATGAGGCTATATCAAAGACGAGTCATTTGTAACAATACGTATTGCACAACACGCGCAATAGTCGACGACTGTGACTACAACTTGAATTTCTAAAAAAAACCCATTTCTTTTTTTATCTCAAGCAGATACAAACGCGCGTAGGTACCTATTTCTCAACAGAATCGCGCCACCATAAAAATTTTAACCTACTGTAGCCCGTAGAGCCGTAAGTTGCCACGTTTGGTGTGCATTCTCACATGTTGAATTACAAATGACTCCAGTTTAGCTCTCATAATTATAGGCATTTCCGATTTCGACCTTTGCAAAGTAGTTGATAAACGTCATTTATTTTATCATTATCCTTATTTCAATGTCCATTTTTTGACATATATGACAACTTTAACTTCTTACAGCTTGCTAATGCTATGACTAATCGAATGTCAGACGCTGTAAACCGAGTCATTTGCAACTTCTTTAGCATCGTCGGTAACTAAGGGAGGGACAAGTTTGAATGAGGGAATGAAACTGAAATCTCTGACTTGGGCTTCTCGCGATGCATAAAAAAACTTTAGATTGGGAAAACGAGTCCATTAAGTTGCTAAAATCAAAGAATCCTTCGGAGCAATCTGCGTAAGGAAGATCAGCTGCTCATGATGACTTTACTCTCTTCATGAAATCATAAAATATTTATCAATGAAGTGAGGATCAAATGACTTCATGTATTCGGGTTGCAATAAATTTTTTTCGTCGCTCTAATTATGGTGACAAAAGCATCAGAGTCGCTCATATACTGCTCTTGCAGAACTGAGATTGAGCAACCAGATTTGCGCGTGAACAACAAGCTGCGACTTTAATGCCGGAAACTTGCGCGCGCGAAATTCTGGCGTTATTGGCGTAGCCATTTATTCACGCGCAAGTTTGGTCGCCTAATTTCGGCACCGCAAGCACAATACGTAAACGGAAAATATACCAGACTGTGACTTACTTTAAGGTAATTTTCTACGAGATAAAGAATACTGAACCGTTGACAGTCTAGCGATTCAGAATATGTCTCAAAGTTTTTGTTTACACTGTCGCGACGTAATTATCGACAAAAACAGACGAAGTTTCAGACATTTGCGAGACACCTTGGTATTTCTAGCAACACTGACACATATAATGTTTCACAAAATCAATGTTCAAATGTCCACTCTTCTACGGCAAACTGCTTTACGATCACTTTGGCCACATGCATTTGAATTCGTAATTATTGTGCAATATCTGCAACAAAAGATATAAATAGATGCGTATGTACTAAGATCGAAATCTTTACACACGCGTACACTCAAACACATGAAAATGTTGTTTGTCCCAAACATACCCTCAACACATGAGAGTGCGAATAATAGTGGAAGGTATTCACGTGCGAAAGCAGTACATACGCTCACGTGATTCCACATGCAGCAGAGCTTCCTTGTACTTATCTGTTGTTATAAAAACATTGTGCGCCATTGTATATATCCTCGTACATGCAAACGTTAGTCATTGCTCAAATGTTCGAAGTTAAAACACTGTTTGTACGTACACTTCGTGAAAATTCGAAAAAAAATCAAACGTCGGAGTTAAATTGCTATTTGATACGTGGTCAGAAACTAGTATAGCGAATAACTTTTAGAGTCAAACTTGGTATAAATAAGCTGGTAAACTTAACGCTTATGGTGTTCCTACGTTGACAACAACATTAGCGTTCAAAAAATAAAAAAATGCGCTCTTTGGCCTTTTTAAGCGCAAGTCGCAGGCAAGTTGCCGGCATCTGCAAGAGACAGCATTTGCTCCACTCAAATTTTGTCGGTAATGCAAAAAACTATATTCATTCATATATACTAGCTAAGTTGTCTGCAGTTGCACAGCGACACATAATTGGATCTAGGAACGCTGATCATGTAGATGTGTACCTCTACAATTGGATCTCTTGAACTACATTTTAGTTATCTACATTATGAGGCATAAAGGAAAACTGATTATCACAGGAGAATGTGCGAAATGGCTGCTTAAGTATGCAGTTTCTATGCAAAAAGTATTTTTGGGTAATCTCACACTTCAACTTATCAAGCCCAGAATTCTTACCGGAAATGTAAAAGGTTAAGAGGTAGGGACATTTCTTAACCTCTTCGAGTAAACGCACGGTAGCTTATTTTACAAGAAATGACTATGCTAATTTGTTATCAGGCCGTTGAAATTAAAATCATCACCAGTTTTCGCAGATGTTGAAATGTGCTTTCTCATGAAAATTCTTTGATGAGGAAGTACAATTTTTTTGAACACGTGAACAATTACTGAATACCCTGCATTCAGGCGAACGATAGCATATAGCACTTTGATCAAGTTCATCCTCTATAAAACCTTAATCAACTTGGTTTGTTACTTATATGTAGTGGAAGTGGGTGGGGAACTCAGTTCGCAAGATACAACTACATAACGGATAAATTCGGTACATCTTTTGAAATATCAAAAAGGCAGCACCAGAATAAATTTTTGACCATGTCTTTGGCCGCTTCAGACTTGTTTGTGTATCTGAAGAGTAGGCTTGAGACACATAAGGATGACGAAATCTCATAAGTCTTCCGAAGAACCGGACCAATCTTAGGGTATAGATTAAGTACGACGCCCTACGCGCAATTCTCACTTTCAACCGTTGTCTGTACCACTGGTCAATTATTTATTTATTTATTTATTGCATAGGGAAGCTCTTATGGTAACACAAAACAACAACAAAAAATGTCGAACAAACTGAACACAGTAGAACGACCTTGCTAAACTAAACACAACAAACAAAAAGGTAAAAGTGTTAGTACGAAGGCTGAAGGTAGCTTCTTATAATCTTTTTGAATAGTTATAGCTTGCTACGAACATCTTTCTTCTCAAAATTATATCCACATCATGGGCCACTCGGCACGTGAAGAAATATTCCCCTATATTTGTACTTGCCCTTGCTAGTATAAGCTTCCTAGTCCTTCATCTAATATTGGAGCATCTAGTAGTGAGTGATTGAGTTATTCACGTAAGGCTATTTTCTCCCTCAGTACTCGAACGATGCCTTCACACTTTTTTAAAATAGTTTCACGGATCAGATCTGCTCATTAGAGCAGTATGTAGCAGTTCAAGCATGTGTCTAATTATTCTAGGACGCGTACACCAAAAATTGTTTGGAAAGTTCTCGCAATAGTCATCTTTGACGCAGGGACGTACCTAACCATAAGAGATAAAAGCATTCTCAAGCCGTGTTAGTTTGCCTGTGCCTGTTCGCGCCAGCATTGTGCCAGCACTGTTTCCTAGACGTGCTAGCGCCGAGCCGGGGCGCGATCGATCAGTACGCGGTACATCCACGTGGGTGCCGGCACAGCGCTGAAACGGCGTTGGCACAGCACTGGTGCATGAACTCGGCTGCCTGAGGACGAACCGAGACCTTTCCTACAGAGCTGAAATAGCCAGCCTTTCAAACACAATTTCTGAACCATCTGGAAAGCGCAATCTCCGATGTCAAAAAGTTTTGAATATGTCTGCAATCTCAATAAGAAGAAACTTCTTGACTCAATACTTTTTTCAGCACGACTGACAGACTATGATTGACGTCTTTGCAAAGTATGACTTGCATATACATATTTTGCAAGTTAGCTGCAAACTAAAGGCTTAAAGAGAAGCAGATCTAAGATTAATTCAAAAACAAGTCTAAAATTGTAGTCCGAAAGCCAGCCACTTGGTTAAAGTGGCTTTCAAATGCTTATTGTTGGATTTATAAGTTTTGCACCATCAAGATGGAATTCATTTGATACATGTATAGCAAATAGAGAAAATCCTAGGATTTTCAAAAATGCTTGAACCAAAATTATTAGGTTGAACCGAAAGTTCTGTCGCCCAATTTTCAGAAAATCGTGACATCTTGCTGTCTCGATAGTCTTGCATGGCAGAAATGTAACTAGGAAGAGTGACTCGTGCAATTTTTAATACACCTTGCTTGCTCTCTCCTAGGCTCTGACTGCAGAGATAGAGATGGGAAAGTGTAATCATTTCAGGTTCGGGATTTTGAGGCAAGCCCGTTAAAAATTCCAAAACTATGCCATAACATCCAAGCGAGTATCCTAGATTTTCTGACCCCCTCTTTCTAGGTGAGCAAAAATCGCGTTGTTCGAGCTGTTTTCTGAAAAGTTGTGATTTTGAGAAAAAATCGCAAAAAAATCAATTTTTTTTAAGAAACCGATTTTTTGGCGTTTTTCCTCGAAAATCATATCTTTTTTGAGAAAAGCTCGATCAGTGGAAATTAAGCTAGGAAGGGGGAATCAAAAACCTAGGTTACTGGCCCTTTAGGATTTTATGGCACAGTTTTGCAATTTTTAACGGGCTTGCCTCAAAATACCGAAATCAAATTAATTTCTTCTTCGCAATTTTAACTATGCAATCAGAGCATGAGAGAGAGAAAGCAAGATGTCATTAGAAAGTACATGAGTCGCTCTTCCTAATATTATTTTTGTAATGGAAAACTATAATGACGGGAAGAATTTACGATTTTTCAGAAAAAGTGCGACAGAACTTTCAGTTCAACCTAATATTTGGCACATGGCGAGGGTTACATGCATTCTAAGTTCTAAGAGAACACTCAAAAAGTTGTTCTCTACATTTTACTAGCAATAATCGCAACGTCTTTCTAGATCTAATTTTCAGTTTTTGCTTCTATTATCTACTTTTCCTAACTAGAAATCCATGATCGATGTTTCTACTCACAGGGTGTCCCAAAAAGATGTGCATACTGTTTGATCGTTTATAACTCTCTTGCTTTTATGTCTTTTGCTGAGCATGAGGTACCATTCTGTAGAGCGAGGTTCACTTAGATTTAACGTATTGAGCGAATTATCCAGCGCTCTTCACTACTGTAGGATTACGGTAGGAACTTCGTGGAGGATCTCAAGCCCCTACAAGCGGTATTTTGCCTCAAAAACAAGGCCAAACAAGTCAGAAACTCTTGAAGTGAGCTAATCGAAGTCGTTGATTCTGAATATGAATTTTCCACTTCAGTGTAGTGCACTTTCTGAAGCTATTTCAGATTTACGGTAACAACTGTTTTTCCAATGTTTGTCAGAAATATGATTACGTCATCAAGAAAGCTCGAAAAACTTGTGAAAAGTTGTGTATTGAAATTAGCGTGCCCGAAAACCTTGCTACACTAAATATCAGATTTTTTTGAAATTATTTCATCAAAATGCCTATTCTACAGTGACGCTATATGCTAAAACTTCATACCGTAATTCTACAGTCTACAGTAATGAAGAGTACTTGGGGAATCTCTCCATGGCGTAAATCTAAGTTGAACCTCGCTCTACAGAATAATAATTTAAGCTCGGCAAGACATGAAAGCAAGAGACTTATTAACGATCAAACAGGTGCACATCCTTTTGGGACGCCCTGTAGTTATGATCGAATTTTATTAAGCATTTCAAATTTATTGTAGAGCTTGACGGAAGGAAGAGGGGCAAAAGAACTAATTTTCATTAATGAGCTTTTTTATTTGTGAAAGGAGGTGTCTTAAGTAAGCAGGGAAAGCTTTAGAAACCTTAAGTAAACTTGTGCGTGAGTATTGAATATTGAATGCAGTCTGTTAAACAGCCAGATCTGAACGTCGACTGTTCTGGGCGAGACGGAGTTCAATCTCTCATTTCGTTTGCGCTGTTAGAAGCTGTACGTGAATGTGAATCTAATTACCCCAAACAACAGCACTGCCCGAATGAGCTCAAAGCAGATTTAACATGGTTATTACGAGCTTTGTCGGAAAGTTCGCACTCCCTCTTAATAATACATTACATCAGGTCAAAATTCATTTTCCATGCTAAAGTGAATTTTGTACTGACAAAGGATCGCAACCTTTTCAAAATGACCTGTTGTTCCCCTGCAAATGCAGCAGGCAATAAGCAATAGGATTTGTACACAGCACTTCCATGTTCCCTGCAAACTCGACCATCGATAAGGATAAAAATTTTGGGGATGATGTTTTGCATACGTTAATGCTGCTATTTGTTTTTTCTATTAGAGTCTCGGCATAACCTTTCAGATATCCCTTTTTTGGGTTGTGCATACCATATAGGTGACCAGTCAGGCCAAAATTGGCATTGCGGGAAAGCGCGACGCTAGCGCTTTGCATCACGCCTGTCCTGCTTGTCTGCTCTCTCTTCAATCTCTTCGCTCTCTCAGACAGCGCGCATATGCAGCG